AAATAGAAGTTATGGTGTTAAAATCCAGAAGTGTACAAGAGATTGTTTTTCATGAGCTGGGCACACAGTTGTAATATACTTGCACTTAAATTCAGAAAGGCCACATGGTATATCTAGACTCAGCAAATGACAATTAGAAGCAAACTACAATCTTTTTTTCAAATTGGCAAGTTTGGTTTTTTATGTGTGTGGAGGGTGTCTTAGTTATCATGAAAACCAGTGGGAGATGAGGAGCAGCTGTCTTGAAGTGTGTCCATAGCACCCTGAAGAGGTCTTGGGTCTTAGATTTCAGCAAGGCTCTCCTGTTAGAAGCGTGGTGCAGAAAACAGAATATAATTGTTACTTAAGGTAGTAGACAGTGCCTGCCTCAAGCCATCCGCTCCTTGCCTGCAACTTGCTCTTCAGTTCCCAAGGACAGGCTTCACTCACTTTCTGCACTGCCTGGGCAGTAGTTAACAGTTCTTTTCTCTGCCCTAATGTAATGCTGTGGCTAAGTAAGCTTTTCACTAGAGGAGGTAATTTAGGTTACCGTTGGACAAATGTTCTCGCCTTCCTGTCCATGCTGTTTATATACTAGAAATGTGCTTTTGTTTTTTTAGGAAAAAGAATGAGGGTCCCTGAAAATTCTAGCACAGTAGAGTTGGCAAGATAAATATGCATGAATATTGGTAAACTGCTGCTTTAGAGCATCTGTCACTGAGCCAAACAAGTGGAATTAGATAGTATCTTAGCTCTTAGGCCTTCTGCAGAAGGCAAATAGGAGTATAAGGTCTGGCTTGGCAAACGTGGTCATTAAACTTCATTGTAACATCCAGCACATGATGGCAGAGATAGGAATAATTAACGTATTCACAGAGCTTCATAGCTGCTGTTGTGTTAGTCTGTCCACACCAAAGAAATTGACCGATTAATAATCGGTGTTTGCTGGTATATGGACACTGATGGACATAATGTTTCTGAGTAGGTAAGGAAGCTTGTGTACCACTGTAGCTGCCAGCTTCTTAGAGACCTACAGGGAAGTACCACTTTTCTTATCCAGAAGCAGCAAGGAGGTGTTGACTATCTTGGTTTTCCAGCACAATCCTGTTACACAAACTTATGTTTGTCTCTGCCCCAAGAAAAAAATTCTTCCCACTGGGAAGGAAGTTGCTGTATGAAAAGCATCTCAAGTTAGCTACTCAGTATTTCTGTTTAGGTGGTCTTATAATTGAGAAGAAGAATGAAGCATACAACTGAAACTGTTGGCATAGCAATAGTTGTGCCGAGTTGCTCTCGTCTGTCACCAGTCTGTCAGATACATTTCATTGGCAGCTGTTTATTCCACGCTGCTATGGTAATAGGAGGGGAATTTGGTCCCCCTCATAGTAGTCTATTTGGAACTTGAAAATGCTGTTAGCTCTCTGATGGCAGGGAACATAGGGATTGCAATATTTTAAAGTGCCCAAACATTGAAATGTATGAACCTTAAGCTGTCTTCTGCTTCTGTAATAATCATTCTATGACATGTAGGGTGGAGTTTCAGATGGAAACTAAACTTTGCTGAGAAGCTAATATATAGGAAACTGCCTTTCTGGTGGTGTTGAAACAGATGGTGAATGAAGTAAAAGTGAGTGTTGTCTTCGCTAGTTGAAACTAACATTGGAGGATGTTTACATTGAGTTGTAAACAATCCTATACAGAAAGCATAAAGGAGAGTGAGAATGAATATCCTTTTGCTTATCAGCAGGATCTCGAATATCCTTGAAGGTAAGGATGTAGCAGCTTTTCAGCTAATTCAGATTATACTTCAGAGAGGGTCTGTAAGTTTTAATTCCTTTTCCCTGGATCATTATGTAAGACTAGGCTCTTTATAATTAGCTTAATTCCTGATTAGGCTTGTGTGCACTAGATAATGTGTTTCCTGAGGCAAAGTATATAAGAATTGTTTGCCCAAATGTCTGTTTTAAAAAATCCATATATTGCTGCAGACCAAAAATACTTTTAATTTCTTTATAATACAATTTAAGTCATATTCTGCTGTATTGAACCTGAGTTTTGTGGGATGCAGAAATCATAATATAACTTGCAGGTATTGTGCTTCTTGACAAGGGAATTTCCTTGTTAGGGCAGTGTAAGTTCTAGGAGTAAATATGTATATCAAGGTTGATGATGTTTAAGAGAACTTTAAAATTTCCCATTTTCTGGGAAAAGTAACATCTGCTGGACATGATACTGTTAAGTTTTTGGGTTTGTTGTGGGTTTTCTTTTTTTTGTGGCATTGTATCTCAATGAAACAAATGCAACCTGGAATGGAAAAGGTGACACAGTAGTTACAGCTAATAAAACACAGACAAGTATGGCTTGTCTCTTAATTTAATTATCTGAAGTGTTTTAAGCAATCAGTACAGTTTTCTTGAAGATAATGTTTTGTCTTTTCCTAATTAAGGATAAATGAGCAAGCACCCTTCCTAGAGAACTGAAAGGTCTTCCTTTCAAGTTTAATTTGCAGCACTTGGTGGAGGATTAAAGTAATCTAATTAAATGGCCTCATTTAAATTTTGCAGTCACCTAAGAGAGGGTAGACAGATGTGAAAAGGGAATTATCCATAAAGCATGAAAGTTAAATTAGCAGCTTTCTAATATAACTTTTTTAATTTGGAAGATTCTTTAGGAGACTTGAGCCTTTTTGCTAGAGTTGGGATATCTTTTGATAGATCTGCAGTATGATGCTTGCTATGAATTAATTCATCGTGATGTTAAAGGCCATTTTTTTATGCATGGAGTTGTTTTTTTACGTGTACTTTATTGCCTTTACTGTGTATATACAACAAAGTAATTATCTTTGTTGGTGTTTGATATTAAAGCATAATGATTTTTTTCATTTCCAAGATATACAGGTATACTGTAGGCAAGTTTCTTTTTTATGGGTACAGAGTCGTGAATGAGATTGTAAATGTTTTTCTTTGTTGATGTTGGTCATAATGTTTTTGAGATAAGTCTAACATTAGACACCTAAATCCATGTACAGGCACATATTACACATAATGAGTTAAATGTTTTGCTGTTGCTCGGGGGAAATACTTTTGTGCTGCTTTGTATACCTAGGTGAGGGTTATGTCTTGGTGTGCAAGAATTCACTTACTATGTGAAAAAGCTGGATTTTTGCGTTTCTAAATGGAAATGTGCTCTACCAGTTGTAGGATATTTTCACTACCTTAGGAGCCCCTAAAAAGCCATGTCTATGTGTATGTTTCTCTTTTTAATGTAGATTTACTTCCAGAAGTACAGCTGTGGGGCATCCTATTCATTTACAAAATCCTAAGGGTACTTCAGTTAGCATGAATTTAAGGCCACTTTGATTTTATCTTAAGTGTTTGTTAGTGAGGTCTTGCAGCTTGGGGAGTGACTCACTTTACTGCTTGCTGTGGTTACACAAGGTATGTTCTGTACCTTGACTAAGTATAATGTTACTTGCTGTGGGTTGATTCTCATGATTGCTATGGCTTAAAAAGTTTCATGGGTTTTTTCAGTCCTGCCAGCTGTGTGTAGGTCTGAAAAGAAACACGACATATAGTTTCAGGGAATAACATATGAATGACTGAATTTCTGTGTCTGTACACCATTGTAAGACCAATGGGTGGAACTGATGAAAACAAAAAATGCAGGCTAGCAAGAGCAAGATATCCTGTTATAACTCTCTTGAAATAACAGAAACCTGGTCTTGTAAATACAGAATTTAATAGAAGAGTAAAACTTTTCTTAAGATGCAACATTGAAACTTGGAGACTTCTCAAGGCCTTATTGTCTGAATTGCAAGTCTTTAATAATAGCGTTTAGACAAGTAGGTTGTACTGTATAGCCAGGCAAAACAGACCAAGTGCCATACAGAAGGGTGATACAGGCATATTTAGTTGTCCAAATAATAGGGTGGGTATGTAGATAAGTGTGGAAGAAACAAAAAGCGGCATATCAAAGCAAGGAAATTGGAATTCTCAAGGCAAAAAATTTTTGAGGCAAAGATGTCTGTAAAGCAGATATGGCTTTATAAACTAAGTGTGATTATAAAATTGACAAAATGATATGACTGTAACTTGAGATATAACAAAACTTCATTAGAGACTGTAGTGGAGTCTCTGCATTCCAAATCAGCTGGATGGGAGTGAAATTCGAGATACAAGGGAATGTATGGATATTATAATTATGGTTTTTATCTTATACTCTTGTAGTGAGGGTTATGTGTTCACGTATGACTGCACAGAAGTAAAACTTTTGGATTCGCTTACTAACACTGACCTTATGCAACTGTTGCCCTGTACCTCAAGTCTTGTGCACAAACAAGAAGATGACCAAAATAGGCTGCAGTTTCCATACAAAGAGGAAAAAATGGCTGGGAATGTTCATCTTGAATTGGGGGATATTGATAAGATATGGAAAAAAAATAAAAAATGCTGTGGTGAAGGTGGATGATGAGTGATTATTTGGTATCTGATAACATGGATGTTGGTGAAACTGAAAAAAATGATTTCCCAAAAATTAGCTTGTAGTCGGATTTTACATTATAGTTCTTAAAGTTTTACATTGCTGACCACAGGTTTGTGCTGTGTTCTCTTTGTTGGATTTTTTTAAATAGGGAGTTGTAAATGTGTAATTTAACAATTATAACACAGTTGAAAAATTCAGTTTGCTGATCAAATAAGGTAAATGGAAAAAAAAAAAACAACCCAAACCGACATTCCAACCCCTTTTTAAGCTTATTTTATAGATTTCAAAAGGAAGAAGAAAAAGGCAGTTTAGATGAAGAGCAAAAGTGGGGGGAGGGAGGTGCGACCTGAATAACATATTACTGCCAAGTAGCTGCTAGTGACAGGGATTTCTGTGGAGTTCACAAAATTTGTATGGGTTACTGTGTATCACCATGTTAAGCACAGAAATGTAGTAAACAGATGAAAATGAATATAAAATTACGTTGTTTAATGTGTGGTTGATTCAGGTCTAATTTTTTTTTCTTTTCCTTAGATTCAAGCACCCTTTAAGGACCAATGTGCCCAACAGCTCATGGAAGAAAAAAATCAAATCAGGACATCCTTGGTTTCCAGGCTACCGAAATATGGAACGAAAACTTTAGGAAGTGTTTTGCAACCTGTGCCAAATGGGACGGCTGTTAGTTTAGCAGGGAATAATGGTGGCAAAAACTTTGGCAAGCACAATGGCACTGTTCGCATGTCTTCCTTTTCTTTCAACTGGAAAAAATCAAATAAATATCAAATTCATGATCAAAACGAGAGACAGACCAACTCTAAACATAACAGTAATGAAAAACTAATTGATTCTGAGAAGTATTCTCATTCTCAAGGAGCATTGGGTAATGATGTGCTCAGGGTGGGTTTGAACAATACTGCTTCAGTTGCATCAAAAGCAGCAAAGCAAACCAATATGTTTGTATCTTCTACTGAGGAATTAAACCCAAAGTCTTTGCCTGGACTCTCTAGTTCAGCAAAATTTGCCAAAGGTACCCTGTCAGGAAGGACCTCGTACTCTGGACTCAATGCTCCAAAGTCACATCTAAATGGATTTTATGGAAATAGGCCCATGGTAGGTTTGCAGAGGCCTAGAGCTAATTCTAGTGCCACAAGGACAAGTTCAGGAGAAAGTCTGGCTCAATCTACAGACAATAGCACAGCTTTTTCCTCTGAAAAAATGGTAAGGTCACAAAGTTTTTCACATTCCATTCAGAATTCTTTCCTTCCCACTGCATCTTTAACAAGGTCACATTCCTTTAATAAAGCTGTGGATCTTACAAGGCCTTATCATAGTCAAAATCTAGCTGCCAGGACACCTCAGAGATCGACCTTGTTGTCAAGAAATGCACGTCAGTTGGATGTACCCAATGGAAATGAACCTATGAAGTATGGATTTACCAGGACCTACTCTGGTATGTCGACACCTTCAAAGAAGCCCCCAGTGTCAAATGGATCTGGGTCAGCACCTTCTTTTGGGTACAGATTAAGTCGGCCTTCTCTGCTGAAGCCTACCAGCCAGCGATTTGCTGGGAATGTCGTTGTGGATGGCAGCAAAAGTACAACTCCTGACACATGCACTGTGGACAACTCTGAAATTTCAGCAAATATTACAAGAGCAATTGAGAAAAACAGTATTAGAGAGAGCAACGCTCAAAGAACAGGATCTGATGAGGGCCTGCATGAAAGTATGGGAAAACATGGGTCAAAAGTCATGTGTATGAGTGACGATGGAGATGAAATATCGATATCTTCTTTGTCATCTTCTGAAAAAAATGATTTGAGTGAAGACTTCAGTGATGATTTCATAGACATAGAAGACCCAAACAGAACTATACAAATACAGCAAAAGGAGAAAAGCCTTCAGGAATTAGAGCACAGGAGCATAACATCCATCGAGCCGTTCACTTCTCTCAAGGAAAGTGGAGGATCTTGCTGTAATGCTGATGACTGGCTTGATCTAAATGTGTCTGGTAAATACTTCATGTTCTGTTTGAAATTCTAGGTACAAAATGAAGATGCTGTAACTGTAATTAAGTTGGTTTATATAATTGCCTGTTGCTTGTGAATTGTTTCAGAATGGAACTTGGCTCTATGCTGGCCCACTTATTTTTCTTACAGTGCTTTTCCTTCATGATAGTTTTCTTTCCCAAGCATGTCTTTGAAGAGCTCTTTTTCTTCAGGATAAGAATGAATGATACCTTGTTTAACCACGCTTGTGGTATGGTTGTGGGATTCCTCATGTCCTTGCTTTGCTATTCATTTCTCTGGACTGGTGGTCTTTTAAGAAAATTTCTCACACCCCACACACCCCCCCCTCTGTAGGCATAGAACAGCTGTAACTGCTTCTGTGTAGTGGGAGTAAGTGTAGGGTATGTAATTAAATCAGTTAAATTATAAATAGGAATGTCACTTTTGGGCACAGGCTGGTTTTTTGTTTTTCCAGATGCATGCTATAATAATTATTTAAAAATCTGTGGAAGAGACAGAAGATGTTTAAAAGCCACATTATTCAAGTCTCTCATGGGCTTCTCATAATGCACATTTGTTTTGAGAGAAGTTGCAGTTGAAAGTTTGGATCCAAAGGAGCTACTTTTGGACCCACCTTCTAATGTGTTAAAAAGATACAGAATTCTAGAAAATAGCTTTCATGATGGCTGAATTAGTGCAGTGTGAAAGGCTAGCAAAGATGTAGTTTGGAAGGATACTTAGTTGCAGCAACCAAACCAGCTTGAGCTTTTTTCCCCCTCTAGGCTGAGTGAAAAATACTGTAGAATGTTTTCAGATATTTCTGTAACAGCACAGTTTCAGAAAAGTTAATGCATCAATAATACGCACCTTAACTTTTATTTTTGTAATGGTGGGTTGGTTTTGGAATCTTAACTATTCCTGTTTTCTTTAAGCAGTGGATGACAACAGTGAAAGCACAAAGCATACTGCCGAGAACGTGATTTCTCCAGAGGTGAATTACAGAGCTGGGTCCTCTTTTGAGCTTTCTCCATCTGACAGCTCTGATGGCACGTATATGTGGGATGAAGAAGGGTTGGAACCTATTGGAAGTGTTCATCCATGTGGAAGTTATGAGTCGTCAGAAATGAACAGCATAGTATGTATTTATATGCATAACTTTCATAATTGTAGTATGTTGAGTTTATTGCTTTTTAAGTGCATTTTTAAAACAGAATTAATTTATTTTTTACTTCATAATTTTTTCCTCTTTCCTCTGTAGTTGATAGCTTTTTGAAACTAATTGTTTAGGAACTCCTGTTTCTGGACAGGTAACCTTAATTAGGCTGTTTACATACTTTTTTTTTTCTCCCCCTTATTCTCAAGTTAACACAGAACAGGTCCTTCCTTACACAATCTCCTGGTAGTGCTCATAAAGAATAAAGGAATTAAATTTCTGTAAATGATAGGTTAAATGTCTCCTACCAATCTCTAAACTTAGGCAATAGCTATTTCTTACTTTTTCACTCCTATCTCACTTCTTTCATGGTCTTGTTTCTATACTGTATACGTATAGGACCACTTTGAACTGAAGTTTATTTTGATTTCTCAGTTTGTTCAAGCACAGAATCTTTACAGTAGATACCTGATTTCACCTCACTGTAGCGGGACTCTATGTCTCAAATGCAATACATAAGATGCATAACAACCTTCTTCTTTTTGCTAAACGTAACTAATTTGCAAGAAAGATCTTTCAGTCTAAAGAATGGATGGAGAGTTGTTGCAGTGCTGTGACCTTCCGGCGGAGGTCAGGGAGCCACCTTTGTGATTTTGGTGGGTGTGAGGAAAACTCTATCTGTCCTTCATCTCTTTGTGACACACACTCAAGACTTTGATTTTTAATTTTAGTTGGGTTGTCTGCTGTAGCCAAAGAGCAGAACAGCAGAGATTTCTCCTGAAAATTGGGCATAGCTGTGTCATTATATTTTTATGTGTAACTGCATACAAGTTCCTAATATATTTTCATCTGCTTGTGGTATTGTTTGCTTTCTGTCTTAAATTATGTTGTTGGCATGTAGTGCTTAAGAGTCCAGAAATGGTTATTAACTTTTTGTGGGAATTATGGCCAGCTTGGAAAAGCAGCTCGAGACTTTTCCAGTATGAGCTTTGTAGCTTTATTGGTGTTTATAGTGGACAAAAACATTTAATGTAGGTCACTACAAAAACAAACAACCTTTTCCCCAGACACATGCATGCACATGCTAGGAAAAAAGGGAAGTTTTTAAACTTTGTCTTTGGTAAATTTTAAATATAGATATTTTTGCATACAGTGTAATTTATCAAACAAGTCAAATACATTACTTGCCTATGCTTTTGGACTATGTATCTAGGTTTTTGATACATGTGACCTCCATGCATTAATTTGTGCATGTGTATGAATTGATAGTCAATCAATGTTCTGAATGACTGAAGCTGTTATAAGCCTTTTGGAGCAGAGGTAAATTAGCTTTTGATTTTTTTGTTCACAATTTTGGTTTATTTCTTCCTTTATTGGAAGTAAATAGCTTTCAGTGAGGGCTTAAAAATGGAAGAATGAACTAACTAGGTGTTGAGGAAGTGGAAAAAGGCAGAGGTTGCAAGACTTACACATGACTTTCTAGATTCAACAGTGTTTTCCACCCATTTTGATTTTTATCCTTTTAGTGCTGTTCCAGAATTACAGTGCTTACTGTAGTGTAAATCTCTATCTTAAATGAGAGAAACATCAATAATACATCTTTGACTTTTACAAGGCAGAAATGTATTTTCAGTCAGCTTGGTTTTTGAGGGGAAACTGTAGCTGTGGAATGTTGGCTGAGTTGCCTTTAGTGTTGGGTTTTTATTTGTTGTTTTTTCCTCTGTGCCGCTTGTTTTTGATAGAAAGCGTGATATATTTGATTTCTTTAGCCTAAGGATTAAACGTTGTTTTTAATCTGAAGATGCAAAAGAATTTCTGAAACAGTTTTACATTATTTCTGAAGAATTATGTTCTTGGGTAGGTTAATGTAAGCTTTTGTTCCATGTTTTTCCTCTTCTCTGCAGACAGTGAATATAAAGACAGGTTAAAAAAATAGAACTGAAGGCTTTGAGAATAATTATTGTGATTAGTCAGCACATCAGATGTTTTGATTGCTGGGAGATATGTGATCAAATTATGCAGTTTCTGTCCTCTAGTGTGGTGAGGGTAGAAGCAGTTAATGTCTGTGTGTCAAAATCCAGTTGATAAGAGTCAGACTTAAGAATTTTGAGTGCTTAAGCTAATGCCAGCCTGACTGCCCCTTGGAATTAATATTCCCAGGGAAGTCTCCAAAGCAGCTATCTGGTTCTGGAGTTTCTGTGGCAGCAGGCTGGGGTGAGTAGAAGCAATGTGGCTGAATAACAATTCAGGTAATTAGATGGTGAGTAATTGGTAGTGCAAAATTCACCCTTTTTTTTTATTTCCATCCCGCTTTTGTATTGTTAGTCTTTTAAGCTGTATCATCCTTAGTGTCAACAAATATTAAATGCTTTTCCTAAAGTTTTCTGTAGATGGCAGCGCAGCCCTTATTGAGTAATCCTAGATTAGAAGTGTTTTGACCATCTTTGAAAAGGCATCTTTTGCAGAGGTGATTTTTAACTAGACTTCTGGAATGGTAACCAGAATGGGAAGACAGTGGAAGGAGCTTGCTGGCTACTCAATCTTTTTGTTCCTTTTTTGGGAGAAGAAAAGCAGATATCTTTGCTATTCTCAGTAAAACTTGGTTTTAAGGACATGGAGGGGGGGCAGGGGTGAAGTAAATTTGGCTTTTTAGGACAGTACTTTTGCTCTTAATTAATTGAGCCAACAGGTATGGAGAAAATGTGCAATCCATTGCTGGAGGTGTAAAAGCTATACAAATCTAAATAACCCCTCGTAAGACTATACTTACACCGAAGTAGGATGTGTGGTTTTTTGAGACCTTGTCAGGATGAAAATGTTTTTACTCTCTAAATTTGTAACAGAAAATAACGTATTCCACTATCCCTACTTTTGCTTCATTTCCAGTTTTGAAAGCTTAACACTGGTTAATGTCCTAAGAGTTGAATTCATTTCAAATTTTTAGGCATTTATTTCATTGGTATTCCTTATACTCCTTTCAACAACTGGTCTTTGCTGCTGAGCACCAAATCACTGATGCTCTTTCTGCTCAGTTCTGTGTGAGAAGATTGATGCTTAGCAATGTGGTTGTGATGGCTCTGTAAATTAGCAACATAAACAATATCTGTATGTAGGTATTCTCACTTAATATTTAGCTGTACTGTTTGCTCATGTCCTGTGTTTCAGCTACCTAGTTTAACACCGAGTTGCTTTACTGTTTCACTGTAGAAAGCTGCTCAACAATGTGGGGTACAACTTGTGCTGTGTTTTGTGTTGGTTTTTTTTTGTTTGTTTGGCTTGTTCTTTCGTTTTGTTTTGTGGTTGGTTGGTGTGTTGTTAACACAGGCTTTCATCAATTCTATTGCTAGCTAACTTTGGGTCAGGGACCAAGTTAGGGGTTATAATTAAAATGACTTTCCTTTTCACTGCCACTGAGTGAGTAGTGATAAATGAAGCCTAGATTACAATTGTTTAAAAATAAAGAAGCCTTGCAAACAAAATTAAGAGTTAGATTACAGAAAAAAGGGAGGGTGGGGGGAGAAAAAAACAACAAATGTTAATGTGGGTCTACACATTTGCTGTGTCTCTAGGTTTGAATTGTGCTTATGATTGTAATATAACTGTCTTCATTAAACAAAAAAACTTTACAATTTACAGAGCCAAGCTGAAACCAGGATTTTCAAGAGGTTTTAGTTCCTGTAGATGAATTCTGTTTCATTGGAGGGGCAGACTGTATTAGTATGCTGCTTGCTTGTGCCTATTCAATTAGCAGCTGAGAGGGTTAGCATTCCCTCAGTAGAAGACTGGTAGTTACGCATCTGAAGGGCAGAATGTCTGATTTCTATGATGATCTTTGAAATAGCTGCTTAGGACTTAAGTAATTTTACTTCAGAGTACAGGAAATGCAATTATTTTTTTCTCCTGTTCCTTGGAGTGAGAATTTGGACTATAGCCTAGTAGATCAACCTTGCTACATTTTAGCTTTCATGAGGTTTTTGTCTGGAAATACTGCTCAACGTACATGTAAGCAGTGCAGCCTAAAACATGGATCCTAACTGGAGTCTCATTGCTCCTTTGCTTAACTGATTATGAAGCACTCTTTTGCTGTAGCAAGGTTTGAGCTGTTCTGTTTTCTCCTGTCCATTGTATGAAAGTAGACACATGAGAAACATAAGCTTTATTATGTGTTTGTTCAGTGAAGCTTTGAATGCTTTTGGAAAGTCAAAGTTCTTATTTACATTAAGAATAGGATAGATAATACAGTTATTGTGTGTATTGCTCTGAGGTATGTGCTCTTTTTTTTTTTAAAGATGCTACAATATTCTAGTGTGTAGTAGTCTGGAAGAAGTAAAAATTCAAACTGAAAATCCTCCACTAACTTTGGCTTCTTTAATACTCTGTAGAGAATAATTTGTTGTGGTGTTTGGTTGTATGTTGTTGTTTGTTTTGTTTTTTTTTACTTTTAAAGCAATTTCATTCGTTGTTTTTGTTTTTTTTACTTTTAAAGCAATTTCATTTTGGCAAATAGGTGTAGACAGGAAACTTTTATTAGTGTTCTTTGTAGTATCAGGTCATATCAAGACCCTGTGTCAGAAAAAGACAGAACTTCAGTAACAATATGAGTGTTTGCTGTATGATATTTTTTACTGAAATAAATAAAGCCAGTATTTTGGGTATATACATAGTGAGCATCAATGTAATTATAAGGATATGGGATTATGGAATAATAATTGAAATCTGGCTTGAAGAGACAGGTAGGTCTTAGCTGCTTTGCTGAGAGTTTAATTGCTCTTGGTATGAAATCTGGATCTCATTGAAATGAATCTGTTTTGTCTTTTGTTGACATGTGGCCAGAATTTTAGCTGGAAAGTGAAATAATTGCATTTTTGTTGTCTTCCTAGGTAATTTCTGAAGTCTCATGAGATTTTTTTGTTTGTTTGTTTTGTTATATTTTTTCCCTTGTGACTGAAGCTGGGGAAAAGACAATTTTGAATTAGTTTCTG